TCCCTCCATACCAGGCTGCCAGCCACGCTTTCATGCTATCGTGCTGTGTCGTCACCCCGCTGCCCCCAGTGTGTGGGGATGTGCAGGAGACAGCCCTCCTGCAGCTGGCGGTGCCATCTGCCAGGCTCTCTCTGCAGTGGCAGCCAGCTCCCCGCAGCCACCTCCGTCCAGAGCCCATTTGTCCAGAGCCTCTGGCCTCACGCAAAGGCTGCTGGGTAAAGACACGGCCAGTTGCCTTTCTCTCAGAAACCCCCTTTCTGTCCACCCTCACTCTGACCCTGAGCCGGCTTCCCCCTGTCCTGTGCGAAAGCTTGCAGCCCTGCAGCCAGCCAGCTGATTCCGAGTCCTCGCTCATCACTCACTGGAGAGCTGCCGCCTCCTCAGCTGCTCGCCCCGAGCTCCCCCTAAGGCGGCAGCCACCCCCCTCCCAGCCCACTGCTTTCTCCACAGCTTCTCACACTGCTCATCTCGCACTCTTCACCTGGCATCGGGGCCGCAGTCAGCTGGCACAGAGAAGGGTGAAGAAGGGCGGGAGGGACCAGGATAACCAGTGGGGCCTTTCTTGGCAAATTTTAACTCAAGATGGAAGGAGCTTCCTAATGTGTTCCAAAGGTAATGAGGCAGGAGAAGCTGCATTACCTAGCTCCTGGCACCAGCATGCCTCTTACGGTCGAACAATCTTTATTAGGAAAGATACTTATTGGGAAAGCCACCTCTGTTCCTCATATGGGTCAGTGTGTCCCCTGTGGCCAGGGCGTCTGGGGAGGTGTGGTCTGGGAAGGCTTCCCTGAGGAGGTGGCATTGAGGGGTACAATCTGGAGTAAAAAGAGGTGATAGCCAGACAAGGTGGGTTGGAGTGGGGGGCGGGCACTATGAGGGAATGCCTGAGGCACATGGGGCCACGTCTGAAAAAAACAGAGCGAAGAGAGACGTGGCCAGGCAATGGGAGGTCACCATCGGAGCCGGCCTTCTTCTCTTCTCTTCTCCGTGCCCCTGTCATGTATACTGCTAACCTCACTACTGCCAACAGCCAGGCACATCTGCTTCACTGGAGCCCCCTCTACACCAAGCATTTTATAAGTATAATCCCATTTCAGCCACAGTCCTATGAGGATAAGGTACGATGATTTGTGTCCATTTTACAGATGAGGAAGCTGAGGCACGGGGAGGGGAGGGCTACACAGCTGGTAAACGCAGAACCGGGATTCAAAACCCAGGGCCTGAAGATCTCTGGATGGAAAACGTCTTTTTCCAGCCCAGGCCTCCATTGGCTTTCCAGCTGACACGGTTTCATTTCCATGAACCACTGGAAGGTCCAGCTGGTGTGACTGAAGGCCCTCAGGTGACTATGGAGCCCAAGGAAGGGACAGGAGGCCCAGACAACTGTGGGAGCTAGCGGGGTGCAGAGCTGCCTGGGTGGAGAAGCGGGGGGGGGGAGTTGGCGGCTTGGCTGCTACAGTGAGCACAGGGGCTCTGGGAGGAATGAGCGCCCGCACTTGGATTGGAAATGAGCCCACCTGGGGCCACCCTGCCCAACCTCACTACATCTCACTCGAGGGGTTGCTAATGGACGGTCTGGAGATCCCCCCTTTCCTGGTGAAAGCCCTCCCCACTCCAGCTTCTTTTTCTGGGTGGCAGAGAGAGAAGTGGCCAAGTCACAAACACAAGCACTGTGTTCACAGGAAGCAAACCGTCTCCTGGGCTTCTAGACTCTTCCTTTTCTCCGAGTGGTGCTGGGCGAGGGGACAGGAGGTGTTGGGGATGGGAGGAGCAGGAATCCTTTATAAAAGTCAACATTTAAAACCTATTTTCTTGCCTTAGCCAGTTTAACTCATTGGATAGAGCACTGGCCGTGGACTGAAGGGCCCCGGGTTCAATTGCCTACCTCAGCTGTAGGTTTGATCCCCAGCCCTGGTTGGGGCATGTGCAGGAGGCAACCAATCAATGTGACTCTCTTACATCAATGTTTCTCTCTGTGTCTCTCCCTCTCCCTTCCACTCTCTCTAAAAATCAGTGGAAAAATATCCTTGGGTGAGGATTAACAAAAAAAATAAAAATAAAATAAAATCTATTTTCTTTCTTCGGAAATTTTCCGTCCTCAGGCCAAGAGGAATTGCTTCCTTAATTATATTCAACTTCTGGCAACATATTGGCTGAGGTTTAGGCCACGCTGAACTCAGCAAAATGACAAGCACAGTGCGTACATCTGTGTATGCACGCGTGTGCGTTATGTATATGTATGCATGTATTAAATTTCTCTCCCCACTTTCATTTCTTCATTTAGCAGGAAATAAAAGGACCACTGGGCTGGAGCTCAAATCCTTCCTAAGCAGAGGAAAATCTGGGTGTCACAGTTTCCAGAAAGGGAACACAATCTCCGTATGGGGTGTAATTACATCTTAGCTTTCTGCAGAAGAATAGTTTATGGCTTAAATGCTATTAATTGTAAGCCGTTTTGTTCCACGGGAACTTGTTCATTGATAACTATCCAATTAGGGTTATTTTGCAATTAGTCTATTCACACTAAATTTATTGCAAAAGGGGAGGCTGTGGTGCAGCAAATTAAAGCATTGCCAGGGCTGGGTGTGCAATGGCTCTTAAATGCCAATCTTACTAGCAGTCCCGGAGGCTGTGCCACCTTGGCTGATGCAGCAAAGGCCACAGGGAACCCCCAGCAAATTCACACTGAAAATCCACACTAGGGGCGACTCAGTATGACCAGGAGAAGCATGGGAACCCTTGGCCTCCGCTGGGGACATCCCCTGTTTCTCCCCCATTAATGCCCTCTCTTCCTCTTGCAACTAACTGATGACAGAGAGATACAGTCTGCAGGCTGTAGGACATCCCTGAGATTTGGCAATCTGAGCTACAGAGGAAGCTTTAGCCTCCAGAAGAGGGAGAGGCTCTGGAAAAGGATGCACACTCTCAACCCTGAGTTCTAAGCCCAGCTCTGCCATCCACTAGCTGTGCTCCTCAGGCCAAGTCTTCAACCTCTCTAAGCCTCAGTTTCTTCATCAACAAAATGGGTTGATAACAGATCTACCCCACAGCCAGTGGTTCTCAACCTTCTGGCCCTTTAAATACAGTTCCTCATGCTGTGACCCAACCATAAAATTATTTTCGTTGCTACTTCTTAACTGTCATGTTGCTACTGTTATGAATCGTAATGTAAATATCTGATATGCAGGATGGCCTTAGGCGACCCCTGTGAAAGGGTTGTTCGACCGCCAAAGGGGTCGCGACCCACAGGTTGAGAACCGCTGCCATAGGCAAATGTGAGGATTCATTGCAATATAAGGTGAGAACAGTGTCCGATACACTAGTACAGTAGTACCCCTTTATCCAAGACCCCCAGTGGATGCCTGAAACTGCAGAGTACTGAACCCTATATATGCTCTGCTTTTTCCTATACATATACACTTATGGTAAAGTTTAATTTATGAATTAGGCACAGTAAGAGATTAGCAACAACAACAATAAAATAGAACAATTATAACAATGTAATCAAGGTTATGTGAACGTGGTATTATTAAGTAAAATAAGAATAACTTGGACATAAGCGATACCAGGACAGTAGCTCTGATAACCCAGATGGCCACTGAGTGACTAACATACAGTGACGATGTGCTGCACAGAGCAGTGACTCACGTCCTGGGAGGGATGTATGGGGCCAGCGTGAGATTTTATCATGCTACTCAGAACGGCGCACAATTTAAAACTCACGAATTTCTGGAATTTTCCATTATTTCCAATATTTTCAGACCTTGGTTGACTGCAGGTAACTGAAACCTCGGAAAGGGAAAACACGGAAAACTAAGAAAATACAGACGAACTTGAGTGAAATGTTGGAGTTGTCCCCACTGCACCTCACCCAGGGGGCCACCTGGAGAGCTGGCCATGTCCTTCTAGGCCCTCTGTGCCCTTGGCACACGGGGCTGCTCCCAACCTGACCCCAATCCTTCATTCTGGGACCAGCAGTAAATAGAGAGGCTCCGTCTGAAAACAGGAGGCCTGGATTCTAGCTCAAGTTCAGCCTCTGGTTCAGTGGGTGACTCTGGATAAGCCTCCTTCCCTCCACGGGCCTCGCATCCCCGTCTGTCCGGTGAATAAATGGCATTGAGCTTTCTATAGCCTGCTGTTCCCTGGGAGCCATTCTCACCACGCATCTCCCTTCTGCATCAGGAGAGATGCAGGGGCACAGTAGCTGCTCAGAAGAGGGAGGCCGCTTGGCAAAGTCTTCCTTGCCTGGCCTCTAGGTGCACCACGGCCAGGGGGACCGAGAGCCCCCGCCTCCCCACCCCACCGCCTGGATCAGCTCTGCGGCTGCTTTCCTGACGCTCTGACTTCTGCCCCAACACAGCGCCTCTGTTAGAGCTCTGACCTCTCACAGCAAGAGCTCTGGTTCATCACTGGTCACCAGCACACACACAGAGGCGTGTTCAGCTCTGGGCAGGGGAGAGAGAGAAAGAGACCGGGAGGGGGAGGGAGGAATAGGAAATGAGGAAGAGAGAAAATAGGAAGAGGAAAATTTAGGAAGGAGGGAGGGAAGAAAGGAATTTTAGATGGAGGAAAACGGGAAGGTTGATTTTCAGAGCCTCCAAAGTCAATGAACCAATTAGAAACCTTTCGGATCATATTCAGTTACAATAATATCCGTGTCAATTTTAATCCCGATATTCTGCTGAGACAGAAAACCAACTCTAACAGCATAGTCACCTCGCCTTCTGCAGCTGCCACATGAGCCGGACCTCACTGTATTTCCTCCTTTGCTATAAAGGCACCTGGTTAAGGCTATAACAAAAGGTAACTTGATTCCGAAATACTTTTCCGTGGGAAACTTCAGAATTCAGGGGGTACCAAAGAAGTCAGGTCTTGTGACCTGATTTGGGGTTTGAAAACCAGGGTCTCAGCAGGTGTGAGAATGTGAGCAGAAGGGGGCTGGGAAGGAGGGAGAGTTGGAGAGGAGGCGCCTCTCCAGGCCTTGGGGGCCCAGAGCTTACCTTCCAGCGGGCAGAAGCGAGTCACCTTCTCGGGCATCAGCAGCCCCAGCTTGTGGCGGCAGTAGGTCTCCCCGATCTCCTGGCGGCAGTGCTTGGACTTGGAGCGGGACAGGGCGGAGATGGCCTCCTTGCCCGAGATGTCACACTTGGGGGGCTGGTCATACTTGATCTCCGGGGAGCTGTCCCCGCTTCTCCTGGCGTGGGGCTGTCGGGGGGCCTCCTTCCCAAGGCTGCTGTTCCCTGCGGCTCTCTCACCGGGCGGCAGCACCTCGTTGGCACCTTTGCCTGGGAAGGAGTGCCCCTGCCCCTTCTCCTGCTCCAGCTTCCTTTTCAAAAGCTCCTTCTGCCTGCTCAGGGGCTTCCGCGCCAGCTCAGGCTGGTGCTTCTGCTTCTGAGTCCTCGGGGCGAAGTTGCTGTTGTCCACGTTCTCAAAATCTTTGGGCACTGAGTTCTCGTTGTTGCTGTCTGTCCGCACTTTCTCTTTGGGCCGGTGAGAGAAGTAGCCGTCCTGGAGGAGGTGGGAAAGAGACAGGGAAGAGAAACTTTACTGAGCGAGCACTCTACGTAGGCCGGCCCTCGGAGAGAGGGGCACAGAGGTGTGGGAGTCTGCACCCTGGTTTCAGTCCCCGCCTTTGCCAAGAGCTTACCTTCAGGCAAGACTTTTCTCTCTGGACCTCAGTTTCCCCAGCTGGAAACATGAGATGCTCCAACTAGAAAGGCAGGCTTCCGCAGGCCCTAAAGTGCTATGCCTGTGAGTCCCAAGGCTTCTTATGAACCCTACCCTCCATTTCAAGGAAGCTTCCTGGACTGTCTCTGCCGCTGGATTAGGGGCACTTTCTTCCAGCTTCCTGTTTAAATTCCACCAGAGAGTGCCTTGGTGGTTTAGTTAAGGGCTGGCAATGCCATAATAAAGTTTATAAAGGGAGAGAATATCAGTAGGATATTATATACATGCCGCTGCCTTTAGGATGTACTCATAGAGCTATGCCCATTAGAGAAATAAGACAGCGTCAGTTCCGAAGGAGAGCCATCCCTGGGTGTTTTGGAGAACGAATGGTCCTTGCAATGAATCCCCGCGGAGATGCAGACCTGCGACACTCCTGCGTTTGAGCTTTGGCTCTCCATGTCTCTACCCGGGGCAGAACTGATGAAGTCGCCTGGGGTTTCAAGAGAAGGGCCAGGAGTCATTCAGGAGAAAGATCGGGGTGCATCTTTCCAGGAAAGCGGGCGCCCCATACTCAGCTCCTCCCCGGGTCATCTCTAAAGCATGTTGCTCCTGCAGACACCCACTGCCAAGGCCTTGACCTGAAAGAGTACCCACGGTCCTAACGCGAGCCCTCCGGGAGACCTCTGAAGCCACAGGGAACACTAATTGGTTCCACAAATCTACGCGGTTGCTGCAGAAATGCATTGAATGCATTGCTGTAGAAACTCTGAGGGAAGATTTCCCTATGAGTTTTCCTAAACGCGCCTCCAATGGGCTCCCCAGGACGGGAATGGTCGGGATGGACAGTGGAAGCAGCGCTGGAGCCCGGGAGGCTGAAACTCAGCGTGCCACTTGTTTTTGTAAATAAACTTGTATTGAAACGTGGGGATGCCTGTTCATTTATGAATTATCTAGGGCTGCCACAACAGCAGAGGTGAGCAGTTGCAATAGAGACTGTCTGGCCTGCAAAGCCTAAAACACTTCTATCTGGCCCGTTAAGAAAGAGTGGCAGACCAGTGATGAACCCTGGCCGGTGTGGCTTAGGTGGTTGGGCATCGTTCAGTGCAGCGAGGGGTTGCCAGTTCCATTCCTGGTCCAGGCACATGCCCAGGGTTATGGGCTTGATACCCAGTGGGGGGTGTGCAAGAGGCAGCTGATTGATGTTTCATTCTCACACTGATGTTTCTCTCTCTCTCTCCCTTCCTCTCTCTGAAAAGCAATTTAAAAATCTATTTAAAAAAGAAGAAGAAGAAATAAGTGCAGACTCCAGCTCTCCAGAAGTGTGAGTTTAGAAGGCCCCCTCCCCGGGGCTTGGTGTAGTTGGCTGTGCCCCCACTGCCCCGTTTGGCTCAGCAGGGCTCTGGAGAAGCAGCCACATTGTGGCTGCCCTTTTTTTTTTTTTTTTTTTGCCCCATGTCCCCTAGCACCAAGCACTGATTTCTCCAGTCGGAGAGGCTGTAAGAATGACAGCTGACCCCGAGATCCCGCATGGCCATTCTGTAAGATGAATATGGTTATTTGCATTATACAGGTGAGGGAACTGTGCACCAGCTAACAAGTGATGTGCACACGGTAACGTAGCAAACCACAGACCTCGTGTCCTGGGCTACCCATTCCATTACCCTGTCCTCTTCACTGCTGCAGCCTGGCTTTGTACCACAAGATCTGGCTCCCTTCCCATCTACTCCCTCCCAGAGAAGTGCATCTGGGATAAACATGTCACCTGCAAACAGCCATCAGGAGGCAGGAATCACAGAAAGGGAGAAGACAGTAAGTAGGGGCCATGAAGTACCGGGAGCTTGAGGCACAGGAGCTGGGGGGCCACGGGGTAGGTAGAAGGAAATAAAGAGATGCCACGAAGGGAGAGCTGAGTCTGTACTGAGTCACGGAGCGGTTGCTGATCACACACAGGAGCCCATGTTGTATCTCTGTTGGTGATGGGGACCTTCCAGTTCGGACACCTGGTTCAGGTCTTTTTTAATTCCCCACACGGACTTGCAAGAAACCCCCCTCAGTGAGGCTCCATGTCTGTTCTTGAACCCCACTCACTGATAGTCCTCTTTTCTCTTCTTTCTGCCCAGAGGTCCTTGAGGAACCCTAAGCAGCCCCTCAGATGCACTCTCTGAGCACTGACAGGAGCCGGCACCACAAACTAAGTGAGTCACTGGATAGCAACAATCACCCCATGAGGAGGTGCGCTTCTCGTATTTAACAGAAAGAGGAGCCGACGTGTTCTTACAACGTTCTTGAGCACGTAGCAGGCACCAGGCACCATGCCAAGTCCTTATATGTGATATCTCATTTGACCTTCAGAAATAACTTCCAAGAAGGTAATAGTATTCCCATCTTACAGGGAAGGGAAAACGCTTGGGGATGTTCAGTAACTTGCTCAAAGTCATCTGGGGGAGGAAGGGAACTTGCACCCGTCTGATTCTCAAACTTGCTATAGTATAGTGTCTCTTCCATTTGGCTGAGCGGTAAACAAGGAGCATTGAGCCCCCATGGGGGGGGGGGGGGGGGGGGGGATCTCGCTGTTTGCTCATATAGCCTAGGTAGGGCTGGAGCTGGAAGCAGGGGCAGGGATGGTATTCAATAAAGTGCTCGACAAATATTTCAGTCCTCTTCCTTCCAGGCACATGATAGGATTATATTTCCCATCCCCTGAAAATTAGGCATAGCCAAGCAACTTGCTGTGGCCAAGAAAGTGACAAAAGCCAGGGCACGATTTTCCATAGCATCCAGCCACACTCCTGATAGTGAAATTCCTGTATCCTCGAGTAAGGCCAGTGTGGAGAAGAGACTCTCCCTTGCCCCCAGGGGCAGAAATAAATCTCTGTCAATTTCTGTCACTGAGATTTGGGGATCTTTGTTACTGTAGCACGATCTAGCTCATCCTGATTAATACAGGAGCCAACCTGATCTGCTTTCTTCCTTCCAGCTGTCCTCTGGTACAAAAGCCTTTTTCTCTGTCTCTAACAGACAGAAAATCAGTTCAATGATGCCCGCTGTCCAAGAATATGAATTTAAATTCTGTCCCTGAGCCCATTTTGGGTTTTTTTCCCGAAGTTAACGAGAGGGCAGAGAGTACGCAAAAGAGCCCCTGTCCTTACAGCCATCTGCACCCTCTCTCATCAGACACATCCTGAGTATTATTCTTGGGCTGTTCTCTTTCCTCATTAACTGAGGATTGCAATTTGGCCCCCTGAGCAGAAAACCTCTATAAACCACTGATTTCAAAAGCTCACGTGTGTGAGCACTTCCTGGCAGAACCTCAGCTAAACCAGGCCCAGGAAGCACTGACATGGATGAAGCACATCTGACCATCTGAGAACAGCCGATGCCTCTGGCTAATTTCTGATACGAGGACCAGGCGTGGCCATCAGTTCTAACACAACTCCTGATGTATACACGTCCTCTGCTCAGAGAGGCCCCACGATGGGGGCGATGGGCTCCGTACAGCCCCGTGGCCTTCCACTGGCCCCAGACGCCACTCAGCTGCCGCAGGAAGTCTGCAGGTCCCAGTGTGCGGGAAGGGAAATATTTAGTCTTCTGGAATGGAGAGCTCACAGACATTGGACAGCTTTCGGAAAAGGAGAGAGGCACAGTCAGGGAGCATCAGGCATCATCCGGAGGCCTGTCACCCTGAGTCGGTACTGTTTTCTCTAGCAGCCGATTTCTCCTGCCCCTTCCCCCTCTTCCTGTTTTAAATTTCACCGTGCGAAGAACACTTAACACATTTACCTCCGACACATGTTTAAGAGCACAGGACGATATACTGCTACCTGTAGGCACGACGCAGTACAGAAGACCTCTGGAATGTGCTCATCTTGTATAACTAAGGATTTGTGATCAGCATCTCCCCACTTCGCTCCTTGCCAGCCCCTGGAAACCACCATTCTACTTTCTGCTCTGATGAATTTGACTATTTCAGATCCCTCACCTAAGTGGGACTGTGCAGTATGTGTCCTGCTAGGACTGGCTTAGGTCACTCAGCACAAGGTTCCTCCATGTTCTCATAAAGGGCTGGACTTCCTTTTCTTAAAGGTTGAATAAGATCCCATTGTATGTATATACCACCCTTTCTTTATCCATCCACCACCCTGTGAACATGAGATATCACACCTCACCTTCCCCCTAATTCTTTACCTGCCCAGGAGAGGGCTCAGCTCTCCTCTCCTTTCCCTGGAGACCAGAGATCTCAAAATCCAAACCCAGGTTCCTCTCCTATAAAAGCTTTCTAGGCAAATATGTGCAAGATAATCATCGCATCCCCAGCATCCATGGACCTTATACCTTGGCCCTTCACACACCCTGTGTCCCCCATCCTCTCCAAAAGGACTAAGCAGGCAGCATTCGTCCTAATTAAGGGGAGAAAAGGAAGACACAGCGGGATTAGGGTTAGACAACTAGACCAAGGCCACACTGCTGGGAATGAAGTGACTCCAGTTCATGCCTCAGTTTCTTCATGTGGAAAACGGGGAGGATAACCCCACATCAGTGAGGATTCCCAAACGTGCCCACCACCCAGGGAGAAGGAGGAATGTGCAGAGAACCCAGGTCAGGTGCGCTACTCATGACTTCGGGGCCTCAACCATCACACGCGAGGGTCTCTGCCTGGAGGACAGACTGGTTATTAGTTCTTCGTTATGATCAACTAGCCGAGTCCCCTTTGCGTTTAACTGATCCCACACGCTCACCTTGGGTTGTTTATGCAAATGCCACCCTTTGACTTCTTTTATTTTAATGCACTTATTACAATGATTGCACATTCAAGTGGTTGCGTGAGAGCTTCAGAACTCTAA